GGTCTCGTGATGTGGCTTATTGGCCATCTGAGCTTATGGCTTACCGCTCTGTGTCATGTTTAAAGCCTAATCAGCACTTGACTGAGTCTCTTGCATCAAAAGTTGCCCCGGCTTGAGAAAGATAGGTTGTGTCTCAAGAAAGGTTTGACGAACTGATTTGCATCGTTCTTGCGTCCGAAAATTCGGAGCGCATATTGGAGGTATAAAGGTAGGCTTGGGTAGCGCCTGCATTTCCCTATGATGCTAGCTCAGGTCGTACTTCCTTCCGCGGCACCCGTGCAGCCTGCATCTGCGATGACTGCGGCAATGGAGCAGGCTCGTTGATGTGTATTGTCGAGGTATGGCTGCTATGAGTTGCTGTTAAATCGTAAGGAATGAGAGACTGGAATCAAGGGACTACTGCTGCGGGCTGCGGGTTGTGCAGGCACTCCATCAGAACCACTTTTGAAATCATTTCTCTACTTTGCTCTACGACTCGCCGGCAGCAAGCCGCTCCCCGAGCAAAGGCGACTCTTGCGCGTTGACTACTCATGCTGTGTAATTGACCTTGCAAGCCCAAAATGGGCAGCTATCCTAAGGGGACTTGCATTGCTTGCGAGACCCTCGTCGGCTGGTCGATTAAATAACTCATCCTACGATGTCCGGTAGAAGCCTCACTGAACCCGCCTTCCAGGATCTAACTTGTTGTATGTATGTTGCCATCACAATAGACCTCCCAAAGCCAGAGCTCCACACCGCAAAAACCACGGTCAGCCAACCGCTGGGTAGCACTAGAATTTTTGCATCATCACCGACAGGACTGTGGCGGTCCTTATCCTGAGCGCTTTTCTTTCCTAAGAGTTCTGAAGCACGCTAACTTTGATTCTGCATCTGATTGATTTTCGGCCTGCAGTCGCAACTCGCGCACGGCACAATGCCCATCCTGATGAAGGACGCTACCAATGCCCTGTTTTGGTTTGGGTCAGGGGCCTACAGCGTTCAGGACTCACTGTTCAGAGTCTAAGGCGGCTTTTGTTCAGGGTGATGACCGACATGAATCTGGGCATCATTTTTATACAGTAGGTGATAATAGAGGTGAAGACCCGAAAGTTAGCATGTTTACTGCCATGGCAGTTGCGAAGCATGATGTTACACGCAACTCATATGCACCCCAGGTTTGGAGGGATGATAATTTGAAGAAACGGTTCAACAAATTCTGAAAACTATGGCCTGGAATTCCAGGTAGCTGCTTTCTGACGAATCAGCGCAGCCAAGTGACAGAATTGAGAGGAGCCCGTGGATCTCGCGACATCACCTCTTCGAGAGCAGGCACGTTCAACTGGAATCATACATATGCGGAGGTAGGAATACCCAATCCTAAACCTTAAAATTCTCCAATTCGACCTTTTCCCCTTGAGAATCAGGCAGAATGGGCCCAATCAGCCCGTAAAAGGCCATAGAAAGACAGGGATCTTGCCAACCCTGCGCTTCAAGTCTATTGAGAATATTCTCTGTGGGCTTTACAGGCTACAAGTGCTACCTTTTTGGGTTATTGGGAGTCGCACGATAGGTTTAGGAGGAGTTCAGGCTGCGGGTCGTTTTGTGGGAAACAATGACAGGTTCCCTTCCCGAGGTCACGATTTGTTGTTGTCATACGGCTTCAAAAGCCCCAGAACCCTTTCTCCGACATCCCTTTCTTTTGAGAGGGTGTTCTTTATTGACAGGGAATGTTCCTGTATGTGTAGGTGTCAGTCGCATTAAATGTTACTGAGCCATGCCGCCTCAGACGTTTCCGTGAAGCATAATGGGCATGATGTGTTCAACTGAAGGGGGGCGTTGATTTCGGTAGGCTGCCTTAGCCACATGTGGGCTTAAAACATCACCGATTCAGAGGGCCCAGAGAACGACGTTGTATGAACCCGTTCAGGGCACAGGAGAGGACGGCTGAGGGGGAAGGCCCAGGAGGCCGGAGGAAAAGCAAAAAGGATCGTTTTGGGCCACGACGCGGGCAGCCAAATTGCCATCAGCTTTGTTATTAAGTCAGGGGTAGGCTTTGATGTCAGGGACTTGGTCGTTACAAGCTTGTGGGAGATAAGGCCCTCCCTCCCCAGGATCAAGAAACACATGAGACTTTCGTTGCAAAGGATTCGATTCTCCTCAAGAGCATGGTTTTCCAGCCAAACCTCCTCTTCAAGGTGACGGCCGCAACAGGCAGGAGGGGCTACTGGAGTCCTGCGGGAGATGGCCGGAAAGGAAAAGATTTTAGAAATTTGATCCTAGCAAAGCTCATTTCTTGGAAGCATTCCGGCCCTCTCCTAAAGCGGTCGCACTCGTCCCCACCTGCAGCTCTGTGGAATTTGCGGTTTTGCGCGAGGGATGAGAAGACATCACCATTTCAGAGTGATTTGCATCGTTGCTATGGTACTCTCTCAACATCACAGGAGCTCCGGCATGTAGACCGCAGGGAGCAGCTTAGAGCCATGAGCATAAGAGCCTTTGTTCAGCACTTTGCCGCTGCACGCCACAGCCCGAAACCACTTGTAGTGGCTGCCAATTGTGCCAAGGTGCTAGGCTTATTAGGAGGCCAAAACGGCCCCAAGATAACAGTAGTCTACACTATGGAGCCATAATGAGGACCTCAATTTTCGGAAGCTCCAGTCACATAGGACGAAGTCCTATGGGAGAGGTATGGCTGCAAGCACCTGGAGTTCGGACCCTGGACCTTAAAAGCTAACGCTAGAGCTTGAGCCCTAGAGCTTGAGCCCTAGAGCCGAAACCCTTTAAATCCAGACCCTACGGCAAGCCTGAGCCCCACATTCCTTGCAACTTTCCCAGCAGCTGTTCTAATCAGGACCACTGCAGCTGCTCTCAGCCAGCAGGCGAGTAGCACTGTGCCATGCATCGTTTCGTTTGATGCCTGCATCCAGGGCTTGTTGAAGGGAGGAGGAGGACAGGGTGTGGGGGGACCATGTACTGGGAATGGCAGGTAAGTGCAACAACACTAGGTGTTCTAGAACATAAGGATTCAGAGGACACTTTGGGTCTTAGGTCAGGATAGGGGCTTCATGAACTGACAGACCCTTGAAAAGATGAGAATTGGCAGCTTCAGTTCCTGAAAGGCTTCTGGCAGTGTTGTGGTCGGCAACGAGCTCCATGCATTAGGCAACTAGGGCGATAATCCCGAAATCGTGAAATCGTAGGGTTCGCGAAATCAGAGGAGGTAGGACGTCACCACTGCTCCAAGTTCTGCTTCAAACAACACTACCTATGTTACACTTGTGTTGTGCCTTGAATCTGCGCCATCCGCAAGTCTTGCAGTTGATGCTAAAGATCCCCTATGATGCCAGGTATCTTAGACCCTGCGAATTATGTCGTTAGAGTCTGCCAAAGTCATGCAGGCCTGTCAGTACCAGTCCAGAACCCTGAATCCCGCACCCTTGCAGGTTCCAGGGCTGCGCCGCCTTGCTTTCCTCCGTGTGTTCCGGAGCCCAAGCGGAAATACTGGGTTTGGGGCTTAGGGTTCGGGGGGTTGTGTCATTGCTACAAAATAGGGAGCCAGAATTTAGACGAACTCTCCTTTCGGGCTTTGGTGGAATTTGCAGCTGGCTGTAGAGGATCAGGTAGGGATTGCACAGCAGATGTAATTTTGCCAGACTGGCAGTCGGCATCTGCAGGGTCTTGCAGGGTTTTGTCCGATAACATGACGTTAGAATCATTCCTCAATCCTCAAGGGCTTGGGGCTTAGCGTGGCTTCTGACAAGCTCATCGAAGTTGTCATTTCCCTGAAGAATTTCTATGGACGGAAGTTGGTGGTAAATGTATTCCATCCTGGGCCCTAAAGCATAGGGTTAAGGGTTTAGGGTTCGTCCGCGACCATGATTGTGACACCCTTCACCATTCATGTTAACTCTTTATGGCTGTTGTATCGGTCGTCGCTGAAAACGTGTTTGCCATAAATGCCTGCCTCATCTTCCAGGATCCTGCTTTGCCGCGGCTTCTCGGGGCAAGTGCCCCCAGAAATGACTGGGTCTTTCGGAAGGAATGATGCAGCTTTTCATCTTCGAATCGCACGAAGTCAAAAAGTTGTAGGGGAAGCTGCAGCCAGGTCACCATGTTCGAGCAAAGGGGGAACATTCCAACGTTAGAGTTTGCAAGTCCTCAAAACTCTTCTGCAATCCAGGTATGTTCCCTCAGTCTCTCAGGTTACTTCTCTTGTGACGCAGTAATCCTCGCGTTGATAAGTTGACGAAGCCCCCGAACATGAACCTCGAGAATCCCAGGCAGTTCTTAAACCCGAAGCTCCGAGCTGGTACCTGGTAGGTTAAGAACGGAGATAGGTGGGGTTAACATGTGGCTTATAGGAGTTATAAGTCCATTGTACTTGCTACCTCCCCCTGACCTCCAAGTGAGGAGCCTGGAATATCCTTGGCAACTGCACCCATGTCCAGTTCCAGATGCCCAGACTGTAGCTTTCCAGCTTTCAGACATTACTCGAGTACACGACACCTCCGCTACATAGGGACAGCCGACATGACAACCAGGTAAGATGCTATGCTTCAGATACACTAGTGTTACGAAATATGCCGGCCTAGGTTCCATTAGATCGTTCTGCCCAGGTGGGCCAGAAGCACAGCGCAAATGACCGCATGAAAGCCCAGATGCATCAGCTGTGTCGCGGGTGCAAGACTTAGGGTTTGACGAGATGTGGAAACCCGAAACCCTAAACCTTAACCAGAGACCTTCACAGAATCCCACCATAATCTATCTATTGCTTTTAGGGTATCCCCGTTTTGGGAACCTCAGATGTAAGAGGGAAGCTGAAGCATTTGGAGCGTTCAGGGTTAAGGGCTTGGAGTTTGGTAGTTGTCCGAGTTTGAGTTCCTATTTGAATACGGGCCCTTCGTTTGCACGCGGGTCCTGAAATTCAGGGTAGCCAAGCAGGCACCATATCGTTGACAATTCCCGGTGTGGTGAATTTTCAGACAAGGCAAGCAGGCGGCTTTCGAATTGGCCATGCAGAGATGCAGGGGCACAGGCCTACGATGGAGGACGCTCATGTCATCCATGCCGAAGACACCTGGGGCTTCTTCGGAATCTTTGACGGTCACGGAGGTGACCAGTGCTCGCGATTCATATCGAAGCGCATCAGCGAAGAACTGGGCAAGACCGGCATGCCAGATACTGGATTGACGTTCAGGAAATTGTTCATAGATTAAGTTGCAACATTGTGCATATGTGGCAAATATGGAGGTGTCTTTATGATGTTAGCTTAGTTTACGTAAGGTTCTTACTAAACAGCAACCCAGGATACAGACAAGCAGGTCACCGACTTGGCTTGCCGCCTTGACAAGGATGGAGTTCCCAGAAATGCCCAGAGAGCCATGGTCCTTCCACCAACTTCACTCTGATCCTACAGACCTCCTCGATAGCCCTGAATGAACCCTCAAGCCCGGGTAAATGTAAATCGTGTAGGACAACAGCCAAACAACAAACCTTTCATAAAATTCGGTCGAAACCCGACCTGAACCGTATACAATTTGTATGAGCCCAAAACCCTAAACCGAGTGACAAGGAGGTTCTGGATTCGAACCAACCTGGAGGATCTACAGGCACTTTTGTCGTTGTCCAGGCACCAAAGACGCCTGGAGGCATGCCAGCTGCATCGGGTAATCATTTTCTTGCTGGAACTTCACCGCAATTTTGGCACTTCGTAACTGTTGGGGATCCTCTTTTACATACTAAGGTTACACTTGTAGAGTGAGATGAAAGAACAACCCAATGAGTTTGGAGGTTACATGGGCACGTACATGGATATAGGGTGTAGGGTTCAGGGTTCTTCCAAAAAAAGTAGGGTAAGTAGGGGTGCTCTTTAAAGGGGTTCCAGGACAAGGACCATATTTTACCTCCCAATCCTGGAAACCTCCATCTACATCCTGCGCGCGGGTAACAGAGTACAAGCATTTCGCTTCAATATAAGCTGCTGTGTTCAAGTAAGTACCGCCTCCGGGTCGGAAATCTCGGCGACAGCCGTGTGCTGCTGGGACATGTGGACGGTTCAATTTTCCCCGGTCCTGGAACCGACAGCGCCCTCACGACGGAACCATGTCCTTTAGGCGGTATTTTGTTTGGATATTACGGTCCCCGAAATAGAGTAAGAGTATACCCCTTGTTTTGTTATAGTTCTTACTTTGTTCGAACACCAAACAAACGCTTGTCATATCAATGAAGCTGCGTTAGGGTATCTTGCCGTTGCACTAGATTCACTAGATGTGTGAGGTTAGCCTTCGCCTTACTGGTTGTTGCTTGTTGAAGGGAATGACTAGGAATGGATCTGCATGGTAGCCTACATATCTCAGGGTAGTCTCTCTTTTCTTGTCAATTGTTTCATTCCATACCCAGAGCCCTAAAAGAAACATCCGTTTTTGTTTCTATTCCTGCATTTCCCATTGGCAACCAACAAGTTGCTGGGTTGGCTTTGTTCTGCCATGAGGACCACAAGCCCGACCATCCGTGCGAACAAGCACGGATCCGGCGCACTGGCGGAACTGTCCACACAGTCCATTGCTCAGGTTTAGGGTTTAGGGCACCGCGACAGAAAGGGAAATGGAACATGACATGACATGGGAACTGGGCTTGTATGTCTGTGTGTGTGTGTCTATGAGGGCAGTTTGGTGATCACAACCCTGAAAGTGCACAACGAATTGGAAAAGAAAATGGAAACCATAAACCCTTCACCTTACACCCTGATCCGTATAAGGTCAATGGAGTGGCCCGTGTAAACGGGACGTTGGCCGTCAGCCGCTCCTGGGGCGATCGTGGTCACAAGCTCACTGGAGGCCCGAACCGTTTTGCTGCGCTGCTTTGACACCCCTAGGTAGTTCTATGCTGGGGATCCCGTGATCTGTTTAAACGCCTTCTATATTTTTAGGGTTTCTTGGGGCCCCTGTTCTGAGAAATTCCGACAGCCCTAGACCCTTCATTTTCATTTATCATGTTCTTTTCCTTTTGAATCTCTGGGAAGTATCCTACAGACCATCCAGAAAGCTGTGTTGCTCAGTTTATCTTGGCAGGTCCGAACCCAGGGGACCACCCAGTGACTTGTGCGCCGGAGCTGCAGGCCAGACAGCCGGACTAAGGGTCCAGGGTTCAGAGTTTGGAGTCTAGCGTTTAGGGTTTAGAGTTGAGGGTGCAGGGTTTAGGGTTTAGAGTTGAGTTTAGGGTTTAGGGTAAAGGATTTGCAGCTTGCTGTTAAGGAACTATAGGAACCACTCTATGTAGCCATATCATGGTAACTTGGTTTAAGTTGCTTAGGTTATGTTCCTTAGCAGGAACCCAGTTTGAGATTCCAACGTTTCAAGCTTGGCACACTCGACAGGAATTTGAGTGCGGGCCCACCGATGTTTTACTTCTGGTGTGTGACGGCGTGTCCGAAGGCCTGGACCTGGACCGATGCTTCACATTTTCGTGTTTTATTGGAAGGTTTGGAGTTGTCAGTAAACTTTAGACGCAAAACACAAAACCCTAAGGTTGAAGAAACAATTCGTGAATCCTCCCTCAACGATTATGGGGATTTGCACCTCTGGGCTTTGGAGGTAGAGACTAGCTTACAACATGGAGAATGAAACACAAGCTACCATAGGGAGTTTTGCACTGAGGGGTTGAGGTTTATGGTACCCCATTAGGGGAGAATCAAATGGAAAAGAAATGGAGCATGAAGTGGAAGCTGGGATTATGTAGGAATTTATAGGGGTTTTACGTTGGGAAAGACGCAAGTCATAATAGGTAGCATCCCATACGTAGTCTCTTCTGGTTACTATCCAAAACACCATTGATACAGATTAGATACTGCCCCTTCTCAGTGAGAATTGAATAATACTGAGAATGTGCGCAGATGGGGCCAGTGGCCAAAACATACCTGCCCAGGCTAACCAATGGTCTCTTATGATTGTGTTATAGATAACATCACTATAATTACTATACATGACACCACTATTCATGCCCACCTTAGCTCATGTTGAACCCTAAGCCCTAAACTTGGCCCATTATTGTTGAAAATAATTCGTACATTCATCCGGACCATAGTCCTTTTTTCTTTTTGTATGCAGCCGTTAGCCATTTTTTGGAGATACAGATATACAACCCTACACCCTGCACCGCAAGACTGCGGGGGAGGCTCCAATCTATCCCAGTAAACCGTGTTCGGGCAGGCACCTTCCCGAATTCGGCCGTCATAAAATTTGCAGCCGACAAGCTGCGAGCCAAGACGGTGGGGCCAGCGCAGGCTGTTGGGGTATAGGGATTAAGGTTTGGGGCCTAGGGTATAGTGTTGTCGGGTTTAGGGTTGCGGTTTCCGGGTGTGGTGGCTTGTTGGGTCTAGGGTCTAAGATGTTGGCAGAAAATTTTGATAAGCGTTTATGCATGTTCATGTCTCTTTTTCCGCCCAAGAATTCTCATCAAAATTAATGTAAATATTACTCAACGAAAGCTTCGTTATCACAACATTTTGCAGGTTGCAGCTGCTGTGTGCCATGAGGCTGGCTGGCTGCGTTGAGACCCGTTCAGGGTTCAGGGGTCTGGGTCCAGGGTTTAGGCTCTACGAGCTGGGGACCTGGGTCCGCACTTGTTCCCTTTGTTTGATTATGTGACAGGCGCTGAGATGTGGCTCGCAGGACAACATCTCCTGCATGATCGTACAGCTCGACGGCGAAGCTTGACCCGGGTTGGCAGTTTTTGTTGCTTCCGTTGGTTCTTCTTCCTAGTGAGCTTTGTTTGTAAGGATGCTAGCCCATCCCTTCAGACAACCCAAATGTCCGGTTGCATTTACCATAAACTGTGAGCCTCAAGTGTATTGACCGAGACTCCCTCAGTTGAAAGCTGCTGCGATCTGCTGGGATCGGCGGATGATCCGTACAGAGTCCCCAAGGCTGAAACTGTACTTCCCAGTAACCCGAAGGACAAAATCTTGATTCCCTGCGCACTTCTGATCCCCAAGCCCTGGGCCTCTAAATCTCTGAAGACGAAAAGATTCACAAAAAGGGACGCTGAGTTTGGTGCGGCTTATTTAGTTATCCTTCACACTGGGCAGACACCGACGCTGTGGGTTCTAGGGTAGATACCACATTCGATACTCGGCGGGTTGGCACAAAATAAAATTTCCAATCTGCAAGCATCCACTGTGCAGCAAGTAGGGTTCGGTAAGATCAGATGCTGTTGGTTGGGTCGCACTGATGCCTTTGTTCAGCAAGATGTCGTGCAAGCCGGAGGATATCTGACTCCGGACTCCTGCAACAGACCACGTGGGCAGGGAGTGCCGTGCAAGAACAGGCTGCCCTGGTGACTTGAGCAGTGTTTGCCAGTGCAGGCATCTAAATCCTACACACCCAAATTTTGTTGACACACTGCGAGGCCGCGCGCATTCTCACAGTACGCAAGAGACCTGCTTTTTGGCCCCTGGCTGAGTTTTGTGTGGCATGATCTTCACAGTTGTTGTGAAACTCTTTGCGACAGTATCCGTGGTGTAGCAACGTCTTGAAGCTTGTGGGGGCTCATGGCTTCCACCAACCGTGAGCATTTGCGATTGCGTCGACTTGGATGGAATTTGATTGCAATGTGTGTCCTCAAAAACTACAATCGAATACGCCGTGAGAGCTCTTAAATTCTAGCCCCCCCGCCCCAAAGATTGATTCAAACAACCCCTAAACCCTAAGCCCTGAGCGCTGACCAAACGCTTTTGCTTGGCTTTTGTGCTTGCTGTACCCAAATAGGGGTTTCCAAAGATTAGGCATGCCTTATAGGGGTTCCGGGGCGGGGTGGGGGGTGGCCCATAGGGAATATAGGATAGGGACGTATAGGGTTTAGGGATGAGCGAGTCTGCATACTGGATGAACCCTACCCGCATGAAGTAGTTTTATTTGGTATAATTTCAAACATGTAACCAGACATTTGGGATTTTCTATGGATGTAAAAGGGGGTTAGGGGAGAACATGAAGTAAGGTGGCAGGAATGTTGGTGAGCGTATATATTGGGTGTCCAATCGAGGAGATCACAAAAAACAGACACTAAATCCTCAAGGATCTCTTGGGCGGAATATCCAGACGAACGCAGATCAAGGTTTCAGGAATGGTTGTTCAAAAGATGTTTTTTTCTTATTTTCTTGGCCCTGGCTGCATGCTCTTTGATGTCAACTCCCAGCTCTCCTCGCGAGTGTTTCTGCCCATTCTGCTGTCGGATTCGTAGCAGTATGGGTTCTGAGAGAGCCGACTGCTCGCGGAGGTCCTGTCCTTGGCGGTGTAGTTCCGGTGTTTCATGGTGCATGCCAGCCATAATCTAAACTCCTTAAAGGGTCTTTTTTAGGGGATTACATGGGGGACTGTTATAGGGGTTATTATTCAGGGGGATGCTAGGAGTTTAGATCCATGTGGGTGCCCTGTTAGTCCCCGTATGGGCACAACACACTTTGAAATGTCGATCCGCAGGATTCTCAGCCCAAAACCCAAGAAGTAAAGCCTGAACCCTAAACTTTAAACCCTAAACTACACGTGTAATCCCAAACGCTGAACCCTAGCTTCCTGGCCGTATCTACAATAAGATGTATGTGTAAGCTGTGGCCTCAGTCCCAATCATGATGGTAGAGCAGACCTTCTAAGTTCACGACGTACAGAACATGGAAACTACGATATTATCATATGGGTTATATTGGGATAATGGAAAAGAAAATGGAAACTACTATATTATCATAGGAGTTATATAAGTAGATTAGGAGGGTGTCGGTTTCCTTAAAACCCTAAACCCTAAACTATCGGGGGAGGAAGTGCGTTTGCTGCCTTTGCGTCCAGGCACAGTCTTCGTGGCGTGACGGCCGGCTTGCGCGCTTGTTCATTTGCTCCTGGTGGTGAGTATTATCGTAAGTAAAGGCGAACTAGTGTATATGGGGAGTGGTTAGGGAATCCACCGTATGCTCAAGTTTGCATTCGACGTGTTTTTCTTTCTGTATGGCTGCGTGTCTTTGCCTGGGTGTTTATCATCATTACAATCTTAGTCGATTGTCTCGCAGCCGCGTGGCAGATAGCTTCAGTCTAGCGATGATCACTGTTGCTCATCACCCGTGATGGAGTAGAAGTTGTGTGTGCAATCGACCCTTGAGCCAAAGACTTCTCCAGTCATTTTGCTCAGACTGCTCTAGCTCTACTACTGTGATCTTAGTCCGTGCCTGATCCATGCAGTCCTGTTCTCAATTGGATGGAGGCTTGCGTTTCCTGGAACAGTATCTCAACGGGGGCACCCTTTCGGACAGTGCTCTACGTCGAGCCAACAAAAGTTTGCAGAGCAAGCTTGAACTCCTTGTGGGGGTAGGGGCAACCACTGGCCGAGAGGAAATAGAGGCTGCATTGAAGATCCTGGAGGTCATACAGACCTCAGATCAGGAAGCATGGACCATGATTTGCGACCTTTTGGACCCTTGGAACAAGGACAAGTTGTCCGTTAGAGATTCAGATTTCCCCGGAGGTGAGCAAGGACGCCTGGCAGCGTTGCGCTACATGTACTTTCTGAACGAGCTTGTGCAGAAAAGCAACCCCGGGAAAGCACAGACCTATCTCGATGAATGCCAGCGCTTCTTGGAAGAACTTCCCAGCTCGGCGCACTCCCACTTCATGGTCATCTTGCATCATGGGCGTTGTCGCCTGCCACAGCATTCCATGTCAAAAAATTCCCTGGAGACAGCCAAGAAGAATATCCAGGAGAGTTGGGTTCCTCTGAATTAAGAACCTCCCTTAGGGTTTAGGGTTCATGTCTAGTCCCTAATGTACTCCCAAATAAGGAACCCATGTCCATTAAGTTATGCAGGGAATATCGACTGTAGCTCACAAGATCTCTTGTGGGCACGCTTTGTTATCCTTTGCCCAGGGACGCATTGACCCGAACAACCAGGATGACAAGCTATAGGCTTCCGCAAAGCCATATTGGTTTACATAGGATAGGCATATTTTTCAAGGTTTACGGTAGGGGTTATAGAGGTATGTACCCCAATAATGGGAAAGACTATGGAGTATGAAATAGATAGAACCTGGGCTAGGACATGATGAACGAAAAGGACACCGAGAAGAAGAACATCCTTGCAGTCGATCTTGCCCAGATCAACGAGTGGATCTCGGAAGAGGTGCGCCTTACCCTTACTGGTGCTTAGTAGGGATAAGGGAATCTATTGAGTTCATATAGGGATAATGGAAACGAGAATGGAGACTACTATAGTTTAATAGGGTATACTTTATATATACATAAAATGGCCCATGGTGCATTCATTGCTATGGTTCGTGCTACAGCATTTTTGATACAACGCAGCATGCCATGGCATGTGATAATCTACCCTCGGGATTAGTGAAGAACTGGCCTTTGGCTAGCTGGGAGTGAAGGAATGGAAAACAAAACGGAACCTACTATGACGTGTTATATAGGCACCACAAAAGGATCCATTCCCTCGTTCCTAGCTAACCAAAGGCCAGGTTGCTCTCGCGGCCGATATCTTTCAGAGCGTGAGGCTTGAAGCTCAAGCTTTGTTATTGTGGTTCTTGCCAGCACAAACCCTTTTACTGTCGTTGGAATGTGTGCCGTTATTCCCATGATGGTCATAAGTGCTGTCTTTAGTCGCTGTCATTAGTCGTATTATTTGGGGGCCATTTTTCTAGCTGTCAATGGAGGTTGCACGAGAGGAATGGCAGCGGATTTTATCTTGCGTGGAACAGGGCAACCTGCGAGAAGCAGTGGAGGTCTTCAACACGATGTCTCCTGATCGGCTAGCAACCGATTCAGAGACTCTGGCCCTTCTGCATCAGAAGGCTTGCGAAGAAAACATGAAGCGCGGTAACCTGCAGGCGGCACAGGAGGATTTGAAGAAAAGTGTGGACATGCGGGCAAGGCTGCCTAAAGCTTGTGACCTCACAGACATGTCGGCGCTAATGGCAGTCATTGAGGAAGTTGCCCAGAAATGCCCTGGCTTTCACGTGGACATAATGCAAATTTTGGGCAAGTTTGTGCACCAGAAGAAGCTGCCGATTGGCCCCTACGCTCTAGCGGGGCTCCTCATAAAGGTTCCTTGCATGAGCATCCTCAAGGGTTCCTGCTCCAACGAGGATCCTGAGAAGATCTTGGCAAACCACCTCAGCAAGTGCACCACGCTAAAGTTCATGTCGGAGGCCGATCCTTGTCCTTGGAAGGAGAGGGAAGTGGCTTCTGAGTTACAAGCAGTGCTTGATAAGATGCTTCGTCAGCCAACGGGGATGACTCAAAGGCAGCAGCGGGCAAAAGCAATGGCAGATGCAAAGCAAAGGGACCGAACCACCCAAGTGCAGGAGCCACCAAGTCAGAAGGACAGGGCCTCGGTGCAGAGCCTTGAGGTGGCCTCCTTTTGCGATGATCTAAGAAAAGAGGTCAACCGCAGCTCAAAGAAAGCGAAAAAGCTCAGGGAGAAGCTTGTTCAGGTGGCCTCTCAGGCGAAGAGGACTGTGGGAGGTGTCAAGGACGATCATATCAACAATGCAATGCGCATTGCCATGGACTACTTCAACAAGGACGCCCGCAAGCTTGGCTTCTTATCATAGTATACTTGTATTCTCATCACTATTACTACTGCTATTACTAGTTGCCGGCCAGGACCCTGTGATGCGTTTCGAGCTCACATCCCTATCGAAATCTGATCAGAAAAGCCTCAAGGACAAGATGAGCTTTCTGCTCCTCTACTGTTTGTAAGGATTGAGATAGCCCCTAGGGAGCAGTTCTTCAATCCCTGGCTGGAGGCAAGCAGTGCTTGGCCATCCTTTTTAAATGCCTCGGTTTTGTGCTGTAGGGCTTCGACTCTCGCGACTCAAAGGTTCCAAACAGAGTGGGCAGAGTGCGCAGACTGCGCTAGCATGGCTGAAGTCTTCAGTTCCTTTTTTTGGAGTAATGGAGAAAATAAAAGGGAAACTACTTTAATATGTGTTGGGTCATATTGCCCCATCATAACTTCCATAAGTCTCCTCTGGCTAACTGGCCCTCAGTGGTCCTTCCGGCTACATTCTCTTCACCTCAAGCTTGTTTGACAGGCATGGTTCACACAAATCTCAACAAGCCTTGTGTACCTATGGCGAGAATCCAACAGAGACAACCGTTAACGCTGTTTTTGTGAACGCCGGTGATCCTGTCAACTTGTTACTTAGAACATGCCACCCGCATTTGAGTACAAGAATTTCGCCAAGCTCAGACTACTGCCCTTCTGAATGTTCCAGAGTCGGAACAGTGATCGTAAAACAAAAGGTCACGGTAGTAGCACTGGCCGTACGAATTGCACGAAGGGGCGCTCTTTTGCAGATGTACAGGTGAGCGCTTTTCCCCATCACTCGGCTTTTTCCTTTCTCAGTGCTCGCGCCTGTGGCGCTAGCGCCTACCATCTTCCGCCTGTAGGTGGGCGGACTCGTCATTATCATCATTGGGCATTTCTATGCATTCCACTGTCCCGGAAATTAGCTGCAGTAGCTTTTCTACTTCCTCAGCAGATGTGCCCATAAAACCTGTTTCAACCTGACAACTTGCCCATTGGGCCCGTACTTCCCTGGCAAGCAAGATGGTAGTTTCCATACATAGGGGGGGGTGCCGATGTAAGGGACCCCCCTAATTTTGGGAAACCCTCATCCCTGCAAATCACTATATAAGTCCAATTTCCATTTGATTTTTCATAGTTTTTCCCATTTGACTCTCCATTCTTGGGAGTAAAATCTGGAAACCCCACAGAAGGGACCCCAATTTTCGGCAACCGCGCGATTTCAGCCTCGAACAGCTTACTGGCAAAGTGCGAAGGCAGCGACAAAAAGCTTTAGGATCACGCCCAGGGACCACAATCCGCGCAGACATAAATAATGGGGTTCAGGGTTTATAGTAACAGTGGTAAGAGTAGTAGTAATGGCTATAACAGTAGAAACTGTGAAGACTAGCAACAGCTTGGGACAACTGAGGTGGTCAATAGAATCCAACCATTTGAGGTGGTTATTTGAATCCGAAAACCTCCCGAGACGTCAAGCACTTTCCTTACGTATCGGCCAAAAAGTTCTTGCAAAAGGATTATGGTATGTTCGGGGTCTTTATCTTGGCCCGCATGTATGGAAAACGTGGTTACAGAAGCCAGTACATGCGCCAATTTCTCGGGACGGAAATGCCCTTGTTATTGCACCGTGTACAGCTGTACAGCTGAGCCGCGTGGGAAGCACTTGTGTCAGTTGTCATATTGCGGTTTTGCAAGGGTCGGGTTTCCCTTCACGGATTATGTACAAATACGAATCATGGTACTCCGGTCTATATTGGGTCCCGATGTAGGCAAACCTCGACATCGTATCAAATTGACCTAATCCTCTCTGTAGCATTCAACGGCACACTTTGTCTCCGACCGTCGGCTCACGGATGAGCGAATTCCTGGACAGTTCTGGACGCGCGTTTGTGCTCTGTCCAAAAAGCTGTTGGGCGCCAGCACCTGCTACAGTTGCTTCTGTTCCTGTGTTCCCTTTGCGGGAAAGTGTGGTGCTACAACCATTTGCGGCCGGCAGGCTGCTCCTTGCCCTGCATGGGAGATGGAGCACGAGGCTCAGTCTTCAGTTTTAATGCACATATGGTTTGGTGCTGTAAGAAGGAGACCCTGAAGCCCAAACCCTGAAATTCCTGATTCCCTGGGTTGCTCTTCAGGAACTTGAAAGGAGTGACCATCATAGTGATATATGGTAAGTAACGAGGTTTCCAACAAGGGTAGCCTAACTTAAGTTCCTCAACCCCTATGACGTTCCCAAGTTTTATCCCCAGCTTCCATTTCATTTTCCATTGTTTTTGCCGTTTGATTCTCCATTCTGGTACCCTCAACCCGACATCCTAGATCCTAAACCGTAAACCCTAAATCCCATAAACCCTAACCCCAAAACATCCAAAACTACAAGCCCTAAACCCGTGTTAATTGTATATTGAACCATTACATACACATAATTACTTTTAAAGAAACCCTACATAACCCCTAGATTGCTGTGAGGGGGCGGCATTCGGATGTCCAGGGAGTGAGCTTTACGGTTTGCTGGGGTACCCTTGAAGTCCTTCCCATCAGGTTATATATACATATGTATATATATATATATAGGGTCCAGGGTTTAGGACTTAGGGTGTAGGGTTTAGGACTTAGGGTTTCGAGTTTAGGATTTAGAGTTTAGAGTTTAGGAGTTAGCGTTTAGGGTTCAGGATTTAGGGTTTAGCTGAATTAGACTTTAGGGTTTATAATCATTACTTGGGGTTGGGGGGTCCTTTTGAGATTGGACTTTTGGACTTGAGGGTTCAGGGTTTAGGGTGTAGGATTGAGGGTGTAGGTTTGTTTTGGGACATGTCGGATTTTGGGATTAGAGTTTGGAGGAAGGCAATGGTGTGCCAGACATAAGAGCTCATCCATGCCGCTCCATGAAAGTTTTCGTGTGGGAAGATCTGGGAATTTCTCCAAAAGGGGCCTTTCGGGCGCCAATCAGGAATACAGGGCTTATTAGATCATTGTCGGGGTGCATATTCGGGGGTACATGGACGATATGTTGAGAAAAGCTCACGTGAGTTCTTTGACCATCAGCGTAGTGAAGCACGATGAAGTGTTTGCTGTCGGGCATCTTGTTACATCTAGTGACAACTTGCAAGGAACTGTTGAAGAAGTGGCAAGATAGATCATGCAGTTGCAGGAGGTTGCGTGGAATGGCCGCTTAGTTAACATTTGAACAACTTAGCAAATAATTTGAAAGCTGAAAACTGAAAAGCATAATTCCTTCATGAAGGTAGTGAGGCTATTACTATCAGTAGTACTGTTAACATTATCATGGTTAGTACTCTTACAAATGCCATTAGGCGTCTGTGAAGCGCGCACCTCAGGTGACTGGCTTCGACCAGGATCTGCTCCTGGATCCCTCCAGGCTACCGCAACATCCAGCTTAGTTGAAGTTGTCGGTAACACCTAGGTGCAGAAGTTGGAAGCTTTCCCCATCTTTTCAGCCGGATTTCTTATTGGAGAAGGCCATGGCTTGCATCTTGCTCCCTCACTGGTGCCTGAATTGAAGGTACATTCTAGGGGTTGAGGTAGGGAGGTCTATGGGGATCCACTCCCACACACTCCGCTTAAGCATCAGTGAGACTACCGGCAGAATTCTGTCATTTTTACGAGTTGTCAGATGTCCACGTTGCTTTCGTTTTGCGTTTGCCTGGCTCCAGTGTGCAGATGCAGCCTCACATGTACAGCTTTGGCAAGCAATGGAAACGTTCTGGGCAACATTGGCTTCCCTGGAAGGATTCAGCTTGTGGCTGGGGGCGCTGGTGCTCGCGTTACGGAGCACTCCGCTGAGCTTGTTGGTTCGGCCGCTGTTGCCTCTGCTTGTTTCTCGAGATTCAATGGAGCGAGTAGCCCTTTAAGGTTTAGGCTTTGGAGACCCCTTGAAATGCCTATACTCAAATTTTCAGGTCTGAGCAGTTCGACTTCAGAACGCTTTGATTCCCTAAGACTTCCTAAGGCTCCAAACCCCGTGCGGCTGGGGAACTTATCTATGTACACATAGCCCCGGACCCTAAACCCCTAACTCAACAACCCAATGCCCTGAACCATAATCCCAAAACCCTCGACCCAAAACCTTGTGCATGCAAGTGCATACACGCTTTTCCCTTGTATATGGGGGCCTAAACCCAAACCCCCCCTAAGATTCACAGGTGCTTTTTCAGGTCTAGGTCTGCTGAGGTCTCCTAATCTTGGGTCCCCTTCTAAATTACAGGGTTGTTGGAACTGGGTTTAGGGTTCAGGGATTATGGTTCAGGGTTTAGGGTTTTAGGGTTCAGGGTTTAGGATTTAGGGTATATCTGGAGCCCCCTTGAAATGCACAGGTCGGCTTTTACATTGCTTGTACATTGCCGTCGGCTTACAAGGCTATCGTTGTGGCCTTGATATTGTTTGAGGGCATCAAGCCGTTCGTGCAGGCATTGGTTGATTTCTTGAAAGCAGCTGCTCCCTACCTGCCAGAAAATTTCTCCAACGCTGGAGACCAGTTGCAGAGGTGGCAGGATGACTTGCAGGATCAGCCTTATGTGGCTAGGCTGTCTTGAAGCAAAGCTTGCCTTCATCCAAATGTCCCAAGATATGAGCCAGAGTTTAAACAATGTTAAAAGGGGTTGTATCGACCATTATAGGGCTTATTAAGGTATTAAGGGGGATACTAGGAGTTTCGACTATAGCTCATATCATAGGTTCAGCAACCCATGTTTTCAGCACATTGTTGTCCTTGGGTCTCCGAGGTCAGGGAGTGGATGCAGCACTTGAGCCATCAGCCCAGCATGATACAGCACAGGACCAGCCAGGCTGTTCTGCGCCACCTCTCATTGCAGTTTGTGTGGGCTGCGGTATTGTTGATCCAAAAAAGCCACATGTCCTCAGCATGCCATAGAATTCCCAAGTTTGAAGGTGCTTGGGGCAGGGGATTTCTTCTTAAGCGGGAGACCTCTCCCTCAGCATGGCAGTATCATGATACCCTAAGTCGTTACGTCTGTAAAAGGCTGTCCGGTTTCAAAAAGGGAGTCTGTATATCATCCTTCAGCGGGACTCTTGTGATGTCATTCATAGCCCTGAACCCTAGTTTAGGGTAATTTAAGGTCGGAGTCCTAAACCCTAGGCCCCAAACACTAAACTGGGTTGAAGGTTTTAGTGCCTGGTTCCAGGGGGTCCCAGG